GAAAGAGAAGGTGAGAGTACCTGGCCTGCACTGCTTAGTCACTGGATTAGAAGAGTTTGGGTCTCCCAGACTGCATACCCACCCATGCATATCCCCTGGCCCTTGGACATTCTGGTACTGGCCACAGGGTAGATAGGATGGCCTCAGGGCTGGGCCATGGCTGTGTCAGATGGGGATGGCTATAGTCTTGCCTCTGGTCCTTGTCCACCCTGGGCCCCTGTTCTAGCCAGCCTCCTCCCACCATGTCACTGGTTGGGCCTGGGTCTCTCTAGTTCACTAGGGTCAAGGAAAATGGGCAGTCAGCCTGGGAGCCCACACTCTCCCCCTTGGGTACAAATGCTGCTGCGTAGACTTCACTTCCCCCTCAGCAGTGAAGGGCAGGAAACTGCTGCTTCTCTGGGACTGCCTTTGGTGCATGAGAACTGCCTTGGCCAGTGTCCCCTGGAAGGGCATGCACACCCATGCTCAACTGGGGCTGGGGTGATGGTCAAAGACTGTTGTATGTGGGAGCGTAGCAGCCCATCCCCTTTGCCTCTGGGCAGGACTTCCCAGGGTGTCATCCACCCTCCAGCGCTCTCTCTAGCTGCCAGGCTGAGGCTGGAGCCGTGTTTTGCTAGGCTTGCTACCCTGGCCCTGTGAGCCCCTCTTTCCCAGTGAGTGCTCGGAGGGCTTGCCTCCAACAGACCCCTTACCCAAGGATCCTGTCTCAGTTTTTGCTTCTAGGGAACTTAATTCAGGACACCGAATAAAACCATGCTCCAGAGCCACCATCTTCCCAGTCAGCTATGCAAACTTCTCTGGTTGCCCCTCAAGCCACCCTTCCTTTCCAACCTCCCCCTACATCCCATCATATTGCAGCTTTCTGGGCTGTCCTTCTTTGCTGCCACTGCTACCAGGCTCTACCCAAGGGCCTCCTTTTCCATTGCATCATCCCAGGTACCCACAGCCCACCAAGTCCTCTGCCATCAGTACTCTCTGCCCCTCCACCCACCCACCAGCCACCCTTGGTTGAGGCATCTCTGCCCAGCAGAGCCTGGCCTGGATGCATACCAACAGAGGTTATGGAGTCAGTGTCTGCTTTGCATGGCACTGAGCCCAGGGAACTGGGTGGAGGCCTCTTTGGATCTCTGTTTCTTGTAATAGTTGATTTCAAGGGAGTAGAGTTCCTAGAGAATAACTCCAGAGCTGGTGTTCCATCCGGCCTGCAGCCTTCGACATGGGCCTCATCTTGCCTTTTTCTCCTACAGTGGGCTAAGACTGCATTTGTGATGCCATTGCTCAGGCTGGGCCCCTACCCAGAGCACTTCCAGTTCTTTTCTGTCCCTCAGAGCTTGACCAAGAGGCCCTTTCTGTTCCTCCCAGTCCCTCGAGCCCTCCCTGAGTCCGCACAGGTCTGAATGTCCATTTAGAGCTATTCATTCAGCACTGAGCAGATCACTGGGCAGGGGGAATGTGTCTTCCCAATGTCCTGGTGGCTGCCTTGTTCATGGTACTTCTGCCGGAATCTAGCACAGTATCTGGCCCCCAAGACACATTGGCTTCCAGTGTGTGGCCCAGCTTGGCAGCTGGCTCCCAGGAGCAGTGATGTAGGGGGAGCTCTCTGGCTCTGAGAGGCCATGTCCCCCTCCCGGGCTGAAGGACAGCAGCCAGGTCGAGGATCTCAAGATAGAGATACTTGGTCAGTGCCCAACTGTCCACCTGGGTCCTAACCCAGCCACAGCTGGTCCTTATGGGAGAAAGTCCTGGGTCCCTGGACATGAAGCACTGCCTGCTCCTCATTGCCATCTGGACAGAGGGACCAAAGTGGCTCCCGGGGACTCCACTCAGGGACCCCAGTGTTCCTAGCTCCAGCTGGGCTTTGGAGAGGGTGCTGGATAGAGCTGAGTTTATGCCAGGCTCCAGTGGCTCCACTGCCCACCTGGCTGGCTCTGGCTGCTAGTTTCGCCGGACAGGGTGCCACATGGACACAGGCCTGCGCAGAGTGGCCAGCATCTGGTTCCAGTGCGTGGTGCCCATGCCACTGGCCGATGGCCCGATGATGACGTGGCCCACGTTGTCTCCACGGCCATCGCTGCTGCTCTCAGCCACTGTCACCCGGAGAGACAGGTCCTGCGGAGGACACAACGAGAGTGCTGGGGACCAGGAGCAGCCACAAGTCCTCCTCGGCTCCCAGTCCCAGTCTACAAATGTCAGGGATGGCTCCCTGAATCCTTGCCTCTCATCTGAGAGGTGGAGTCTTGTCCGAAGTCACCCAGTAAATAAACGAGGGGCGAGAATTTGAACCAGACTGCTCATAGCCTTCCCTTGCTGCCTCCCTGTGCGGCAGCAGCAGGGGACTGCCACGGCTCAAGTGCTGGCCTCAGCACTCCACTTCTGTGTGCCCTTGGAGAGTGACCTGGGCTCTTCCACCTCAGTTTCTCCATCTGTAAAACGTGATTACGATCGTTCCCACCTCATGGGGATGTTCTGTAGACCGGAGGCTGGGCAGTCTGAGCATTATGGAAGTTTGTTGTTGTTACTACTGATATGGTCATGCCGGACTCACTGCTGAGGAGGGGAAAGGACGTACTCAAGGACAAAGCACCGAAGCTGAAACTATTAACAGGGCCTCGGCCGACTTCTCTCCTCCCCCTTTCTCCAGTGGTTCCCAAGTCTCTTATCCTTAGAGGCTATAGAATGGCAGCACCATGACCGCCTGGGGAGAGACAGGAGACAGATGGGCAGCTTGTCCCATGGGAGCGGCAGGGCAAAACTTTGATATCCGGGACAGGCCAGAGAGGCTAGGATGTTTGCCCGGATTAGAAACAGCCAGAGTGAGTGAGGGTTCTAGATTTCCAATCCAGATGGAGCTTTTAGGAGAAGGGAGATTAGGTGGGTTCTCTGTAGCCCCAGGGGTATGGAGGCAGGTTTTGGCTCAAGGCACAAGAGACTTTCTCACCGTCAGGAGTGTCCAAGGATGGAAGGAGAGTGATGGGAGGTAATGAGATTCCTATCCTCTGAGGCATGTAAGTAATGCCAGTGGTGTGGTCTGTCATATCCTCTGCAGTCTCCCCGACCCATGGTCTGTGACATCGCTCCCTGGAGCACAATGCCTCCTGAAAGCCGTGGGAGTGTGGGCAGCTCAGCAGGCCTCTGTAGTAGAACCTCAGGAGATTTAAGGCCAGGACTCTGGGCCCTGAGTTACCCCCGGCTCATCTCCAGGCTTCTGCAGTTCCTTCCAGTGGAGACTATCTGCCCCTAGACCTCAGCTGAGCCGTCCCCTCCTGCAGGAAGCCTCTGACTCCTAAAGTCTGGAGTGCTCTTCATGGGTTAGGATCGTCTAGGGCCTTTCCCACCTGTCCCTTGTGAACACCAATAAGGCAATACCTGTGTCCCCAGCACCCACCTTAGGGCAGGCACTGAGTGGGTGCTCAACAAATGCTTCTCAATGAGAAAGGTAACGGTTCAAGACAAGTCATTACCCACCTGCTGGAGCCCTGAGAAAAGCTGGGGGATGGCGTGGCTTTCCCCTACCCATGCCCTCACCTGGAGCACAATGGCTGGGACGGAGAAGATCATGGCTTCGTTGAACACTGGGTTGGGGTCATCGCGCTTCACCGCTGTCTTCTTTTTGCTCATCTTTCTCCCATCCTGTAGCAGGTATACCTTGACGAAGGGATCTGCAGGCAGGGGGAGTGGGGTGAGGGCTAGGGCCATACTTACAGACCTGGGCAACCCTGTCCAGCCTGGTTGAGCCCTTGGCTCCAAACCTCACAAACCTTTGCCATTGCTGTTATCTCTTACGACCCTGGCACTGGTCCTTTACTATTTTTCCCATTTTAAGGATGAAAAAACTGAGGCTCACATGCAAGTCAGGAGAGGGCTGGGCTCTGCCTTCCAGCCCTCTCGGTTCCCCTCACGTGATGCTCTGGGGAGCTCAGCAGACCCACCACTTTTCATTCTATAAATGGCCCAAGCGCAGATGCCAACCCTGAGTCACTCGGCACTGGTTCAGC